ACCTGTGCCACACTTAATTATTACTTATATCAAACATTCAGAGCTGGTAATTCATGCTGTAAGATTGAAAACTCTTTTCCATGGCCAGAGATCACAGCCAGTGTCTCTGGGGGCTCTGTCCAGGGGGGTTCCTGACCCTTGCCAGGGTCCCAAACCTGCCAGGGTAGCCAGAGGGAAGCTCTGGATTCCCACAGCCTGCCCCACTGGAGCCTCTTCCTGGACTGGTTTTTAGTAGCCAGGCCTAATTTAGATCTTATCTAACTCATTTAAACACTCTTTGTGGTGGCTGAGGATGGTCATGAGTGACTAATATAATCCCAAAAAATATAACCACATCCAAGCCAGCTCTGGGATGGAAACTGGTGCTTGATGGATGGTATCCTGGAAACATGAGCTCTTACACAGCCTGTTGCTTCTGTATGTATTTCCTCTAGACTGGAGCTAGCTTTTGTTTTGTTGTTTCCATCTTTAATTGAGAGAAAACCTCCAACTTGTCTCACATGAGCTCGCTGGAGAACAAAGGGCAGGTGTTGCAGTGCAGGATGTTGTTGACCACGCTATCCCCTGGTGTGGTGGCTGCTGGGGCAGTGGCAAAGCCTTGTCCCTTCTGGTGACAGCCTGGGGCCAGACCCCAACCCGAGGGGCTCCGGGGGTATCCTGTGCTGGAGCCAGCACTTGTCCCTTGGTGCTTTGTGTCTCCACATTGAACTGTTTTGTTTCCTGAGCAACATCTCTGGACAAAGTATTGCCCGGTGGGAGGAAGCACAATCGGCTTCCAGGAAAGGTGTTCAGGCCTGAGTCTGGAAATCCAGCGTTCCCTTCGTCCCTTCAAAGGCTTCCTGTGGCCTGCAAAACACTGCTGGTGAGTAACTTGCTCCTTCTGCCCTGTGCACGCAACCTGGTGCAGTCCCTGTGCTCCTCTGGGCTGGGGGAAGCTCTGAATCCATGGAGGACAGGTCCCAAGCAGGTGGTGGAACAGGGGTGTGGTGGGTCCATTGTGGCAGGCACATTCTTCTCTCTCTCAAGATTTTTTCATAGAAGAGCACAGAGACAAGAAAGAGAAAACAATTTCTATTTCTGCTCCTTGTTTTTCCCATGTGGAATGTTTTTAGAGAAATGTTTACCTGGAGTGATTGCTTGATTAGATTCTGGTGAGGATTGTTTGAACCTGATGGCCAATCCAACCCACCTGGGGCTGGACTCTAGAGAAAAGGTCACAAGTTGTTAGTTAGATATAGTAGTTAGAAAAATAGGTATGCAGTTTTAGTATCTCCTCTAAATAGTATATTAATGTAATCTAGTATAGTTAGAATAAAGAAATAATTCAGCCTTCTAAACTAGAGTCAAACATCATCATTCCCACCAGGTTCACCCGTATTTACAATAGGTCCACCTATATTTACAATAGGTCCACTACTCAGGGTGAGCAAGAGCTGCCCTGGGGGCTCTGCCATGTCACTCTGAGCTGCCCCAAGTCCCCTGAGCTGTCCAAATTCCCTTGACCTGCCCCTGGCTCTGTGGCTGGGCCGTTGGAACTGGAGGATTATCAGGTTTCCATGACTCCAATTTCCTCTGGGTGGCTGAGGCAGCTCTGGGCACTCCAAGCCCCAAAACAAAGTACAGCACAAGGTGTGGGACTTTCTGGTAACTGCTAATTTCTTGAGGTCCAGGAAAGGTCTGGGGGAGCTTCTTTTGGAGATGAGGTGGTTCCATAAATGCTCAGCTCTCATTCAGACACCGATTCAGGGGTTTTCTCATCGCACCAGTGCCGCAATCAGGGTTGTGAGAGATGCAAGTGAAACCCTGGCACCACGTGTGTGTCCTCAAGGTTCCCAGACACATTTCTGGGAAGAGCCTGGCAGTGTGAGAGCAGCCCTGGCCATGGCTTGTCCCAGGTTTGGGCATGGCAGGGAGGCTCTGGTGGCTGCTGGAAAATCCAGGAAGTGGCTCTGTTAACACAGGATGGAAGGAACAAAAACCCCAGCATCATTAATCAAAAACCCCAGCATCATTAATCACCTGCTTCGGCTGAGTGTGCACATTTGGTGGGAAGTGTTTACAGAGCACTTTCCTCGCTCAGAGGCCCCCTGCACCCTCAAGAGAATTAATGGCATGACCTTCTAAAAGAATGCATGGCATGCCCAGTGCACGGAGCTGCCTCTCAGAACAGTTTCCAGATGAGAAATGCCCAGGTCCTGTGGTGACACTGGGTGCAGAGATGGGCATGTTCCTCCCTCAGCCCTTTGGGACCTTCCCCAGCCTTGGCTGCAGTCTGGCAGGGTGGGATGGGGCAGAACAGGGCTCACCCCTCCACGGGGAGCTGGGCAGGAAGGAGGGAGTGAGGCCAGACCCAGCGTGGACCCAGGACAGATGCTGAGGGCCTTGAGGCTGGATAATGCAGGGTGTGCAACACCTTCTCTGTGGTGACACTTTCTCCATCTGTACCACAAGACCAACCTCCACACGAACACCTGATTCCATCCCTGAAAGCAGCCTTTTTAAGGAATAAACGGGAATAATCAGCTCACCAACAGGGCTGACCACGGGTCCTGGCTCTGCTTTTGGGGCAGGGGCTCACAGGGCCTTTTCCACAGCTGTGTGTCCCCAGCAGCTGTGGGGTCATGGAAAGGCTGGTTTGCCTCTGGGGGAGTGATGTAGCCTGCAAAAAACAGGGATAGAGCTGGATCTGAGCCACATCCTGGCGTGCAGGTGCCTGTGCAGGGCTCCCCGGTGGGGTGATGGGGGCCCCTGCAGCCACACGGGGACCCTTTGGGACAGGGACTTTCCCAGCTTTGGGGGGGCTGCCAGCTTGGCCGTCGGCTGGGTGTTGTGCAAGAGCCGAGCCTGGAAGAAAATCACAAACCTCCCTCTGGAAATACCCCTTGGGCGGGAAGTTGTGGAGGTCCTGGGGCCGGTGCTCGTAGGGGCGGTTCCTACAGGGCTTAAGAAGGGCTGAGGTTGGAGCCGGCGGCCAGAAGGAGACAGACAGCCCCGGCCAGCAGCACCTGCTCCCTGGGGAGGGGGAAGGAAGAAAAGAAGGGAAAACCAAGCCTGCTGTTGTGCGGGATGGGGCCGGCTCCTGTCCTTCTCCTCCTCGGCTCGCTGTGGGGCTGCAGCGGTGAGTGCCACGGGGCCAAGAGCCACCCTAATCCCCCAATTCCCCTCTGTGCTGCTCTCCTTGCTTCGCCCTACAGCCCCAGGACCTCGCTGTCACCCTGTCCCCATGCCACTCGGAGCTGTGGGGAGCTGGTGGCTGTCCCCTCCCCTGAGCCTGAGCTTTCCTCCTGCCCAGGTCGCTCCGCTGGCAGGCTGGTGGTGACACCGCAGCAGCCCGTGGTGCCCTTTGGGGGCTCGACAGACCTGAACTGCTCCTTGGCCTGCGCAGGGGGCAAGGTGGACTGGAGGGGGCTGGACACCGCCCTGGGGACCATCTCCTCCTTCTCCACCCACAGCATCCTGCACATCAGGCATGCCACCGTGGCCACGGAGGGCACAAAGATCTGCCAGGGCAGCTGCCACGGGCAGCACTACCAGGCAACTGTCATGCTGAAGGTCTACGGTAAGCGCTGCCCAGCTGTCACTCGCTGCCTCCCAGCACAGCCCTGGACCCCCAGGGCAGCCCCTTTCCTCCTGAGCTATGCTGTGCTGCCAAAAATCACCTTTGACTCTTTTCCAGCCCTCCCAGACACGCTGAGGCTGGAGGCAGCTCCCCACATCTTGCGCCCGGGTCACCCCGCCAACCTGACCTGCTCGGCCATGCGCCTGTATCCTCCCACCGGGCTGGCCCTGGCCTGGTACCGGGGGCATCAGCTGCTGCAGGAACCAGATGTTGACTGCGAGGAGGAGGCTGAGGAGGAGCTGTGTAGTATGGTTTCCACCCTGTCAGTGACAGGGACAGAGGTGGCAGAAGGGGTGGAGTTCAGGTGCGAGGTGACGCTGCAGGTCGGGCAGGAGACCTTCACCAGAGTGGCATCTCTGGTGGCAAGTGCTGAGGGTGAGTGCCAGGAGGGGCTGGGACCCCAACCTGCATGTACCCCATCCCCTGGAGCCAACCCCCAGTGCCCTGTGCTCCTCGGAATAGCTCTGCCAAGCAGCAGCAGCCACTTCTGCACCACTCCCGAATCTCCCATCCCCATCCCTGCCCCACCTGGCAGTGCCCCTGTGCTCCGGCTCGCTGTGCCCAGGGCCTGGAGGAGGTTGGGGCTGCAGCGAGGTCACCTGTGACCAAGGCCTCTGTGTGTTTGCAGCTGTGGTGGAGCAGCCAGCAGCCGTGGCCACCTCCACGGGGAGCCCCAGCACAGCCAGGCCTGTGGCCACCACAGCACTCCCTCCAGGGAGTGTCCCTACAGGTGATGCCACCACAGCACGGGAGCCCAGCGCTGGGACCACTCTGGATCTAGCTGCTGTCACCAAGCCCTCCTCCACGGTGCCCTCTGTGCCCCAGGACCTCATGGCAGGCAGCCCCATGGCACGTGTGGCCACCAGCACCCTCCCTGGCTCTGGCACGGCGGCGCCAGGGCCATCCGTGGGGACAGTGCCCGCCTGCAGCCTGCAGATCTGGTCGCTGCCTCCCACTGGGACGTGGGGCAGGGCCCTGCGCATCGAGTGCCAGGCTCGGTGCACCGGGAACGCCACGGTGGGCTGGCTCCGGACCCCCGCAGCCCTGTCGCAGTACCGGGAGGAGTCTGCGGGCAGCAGCTCTGCGCTGTGCCTGGACCGCGCCGAGCCCTGGCACCAGGGCCACTACCAGTGCGCCCTGCTCGGCCCCCGTGCCCAGATGGCCAGCCTGGAGGTGATGGTGGTGGATGGTGAGTGCTGGTGATCTGCAGACCCCTGCCCACATCGCCTGGGCGGGGCTGCAGCCCCTCTGTCCCTGCCACAGCTGGAGCTGGGGGGATGCCATGGTTTAGTTGAGGTGTTGGGGACATGGGTTGGACTCGATGATCTTGAAGGTCTCTTCCAACCTGGTGATGCTGTGAATTCTGTGATTTGCTCACCCCTCGGCATTTCCTGCCCGGGCTGCAATAACAGCTCCGTGTGTTCGCAGATTCCTTCAGCTCCAGCTCCATTGCTATGGGGACAGCGGGATCGCTGCTGGGGCTCATCGTGACCGCTGCCGTGTCTCGCCGCCTGTGGAAACGATTCAGATCGCGGTAGCAGCTGTGCTGGGGGTGGGAGCAGCCGGCTGACGGCCCGGCCCTCCAGCCCTGTCCCCGCTGTCCCCCGGCTGTCGCGGGCCTCGCCCGGGCCCTGGCCAGCAGGACGGACAGCAGGGCGAGCAGCTGCCGCGGGAGGCAAAGCCTGCAAGGGCAATGAGCAGAGGCGGCACAGGGACACGTCCGGGACTGGATCCCCGCGGGCTGGCACCGAACACCGGGCTGGGCCCGGTGCTCGGGCACCGGCGGACGGGCGGGAGCACGAAGGCGCTCGTCCGTCACAACAGAACGTCCGAGGCAGCCCCGGGGGGAGCGTGGGCGCGGCGGGCGGGTGGCACCGCTGCTCCAATAAAGAGCTGTTTCCGTTCGAGCCCTCTGCAAAGTGTCCTTTGGGCCTGGGCGGTCCCGGTCCCGCGGCCCCTCACCGGCCCCGGGACACGGGCGGCGTCCGCCCGGTTGCCAAGGGCGGGGCATCTACCCTCAGTAGACATGGCGGCCGCGGCGCCAGCCGCGTTGATAACGCAGCTCTTTTGCCCACACTCAAGATGGCGGCCACAGCCTCGCCCAATGGCGGCGTTCTCACACCGCCTCCCTGCCCACCGATTGGCTGCCAGCGTGCAAGATGGCGGCACAAAAACTTCCGGCCCGGGCGGAAGTACGGTCCAAGATGGCGGCGCACGAGAAGCGGCGAGCGGCCGCCGCCCCGGTGCCGGCGGGGGGCAGCGGGCTGCCGGAGCCGGGGCGGGCAGCGCCGGGGGGCGGCGGGCCGGCGGAGGGCAGCGCGGCGGAGTTCCTGCTGCGAGCCGGCGTCACGGCCATGGTGCGGGAGGCGCTGCTCAAGGTGCTGGAGGCGCGGCCCGCCGAGCCCGTGTCCTTCCTGGCCGAGTACTTCGAGCGGCTGGTGCTGGCGGAGGCGGCGGCGGAGCCCCCGGGGCCGCCGCAGCGCCTGGCGCGGGCGCTGTGGTACGTGTGCCTGGCTCATCACTCGCACAGGTGCGGCCGGTGGCGGCGGGGGGCGGCGGGGACGGGGGGCGAGGCCGCCGGTCTGTGTGTGTGCCCTGTCGCGACAGGACGGCCTTCGACAGCAATGCCGGCGCGGCCTACGAGGTGCTGGGCTGCGGCGGGCGGCGGCGGGCGGCGGGCGTGGACGGGCGGCTCTACAGCGAGCTGCTGCGGCGCATCTGCCAGCGCGGGGCGGCCCCGGCCGAGGCGGCGGCCGAGCTGCTGCGCCGCGTCCGCTGCCGCGACCACGAGGCCGTCCCGTTCGACGTGTTCCGCTACGGCGTCCTCACCTGCTGCGTGCTGCTGGAGTTCGCCGCCAAGGCCGACGCGCTGTTCGCCGTGCTGGGCGCCGGGGACTCGGCGGACAGCCGGCTGTGCCAGGCCGTGCTGCGGGCGCTGGAGGACGCGCTGGGCGCCGGGCACGGCTCCCGGCCCGCCCGCTACCTGGAGGCCGGCTCCCGGCTGGGCCCCGACAGGCTGGCGCTGGCCATGGACCAGGCGCTGCAGGAGAGGAAGCTGGGCTCCTCCATGAGCAGGGAGGAGTTCCTGAAGAAAGCCACGGCGCTGTTCATAGCGAAGGTGAAGCCTGTGGAGTGATGCTGGGTGGGAGCAGCGCTGGCTGCCGGCCCTGCGGGGCCCTGCTCGAGCTGCACGGTGAGCACGGGGCGCCGGCTGCAGAGCCCTGCTGTGCCTAACAGGAGAGTCCCAGTTCCCACACTGCCTGCCCTGCTCTGATGGTGCCCAGCAGCTCCGTGTCCCTGCGTGGCTCCTCTGGCCCTTTCAGGGGTTATCCAGGACTGACGTGGAGGCTGTGACCCATGGAGCTGCTTTAGGCAGTGAAATGACCCAGAAGGAACAAAGTGTGGGGCTGGGCTGTGGCTGCACAGGGCCAGCTGGGGAGGGCTAAGGTGGTTTGGGATGTGGAGTGCAGGTTCTGGATGAGACACATCCCCTCCCCCTGGCACCAGCTGCGTGTCGGGCCAGGGGTTATTTATTTAAACTTGTCTGATCGTTATTTATACTGTTCAATTCCTGGTTTGCTGTAAGACATTAAAGCTTTTTTATTATTTTTTTAGTGGCCAGTTTCTTCTCTCCTGGCAGCATGAAGTGCCAGAACGAGCTGCAGAAGTGCCCAGATCCCTGAGGCACACTCCGTGCCCAGGGGTTAGTGTTGGCAGCGGGTGCAGGACTGTGGAACACCCGAGTGGAAGAGCCGGTGGGAGGATCCCCGCGGGCTGGGGACGCTGTGCGGGGCGGATGTTCTGCTCCCCGCGGGCAGGACGCGGTGCTGCTCTGGGTGAGGCTGCGGCTGGCGGCTCCTGACGCAGCCACAGCTGACGGGATGTGACACAAAGGGAGGCGCGAGCCGGGGATACCGGAGGCGGTGTTCATTCGCTCCTTTTCCCGGTGCTGCCCCGGCAGCGCTGTGAGTTGTCACACAGCCGTGGCACCGCGGGCTGACCGGGCATTCTGCGTGCTGGGGAGCCGCTCGCCGATCGGTGCGACCGGGAGCACCGGCGCCCATCCCCGGCCCCGCCCCGCGCTCTGAGCGCTCGGCGACACCCCGGGGGCGGTACCGGGGGAGCCACGCCCCTCCCGGGACTCCAGCGCCGCCGGTGCCGCCGCCGCCCCCCGAGCCCCGGCATGGCGCGGCCCGCCGTGCCCAGCTCGCAGAAGGCGCTGCTGCTGGAGCTGAAGGGGCTGCAGGAGGAGCCCGTGGAAGGCTTCCGCGTCGGGCTGGTGGACGAAGGGGACCTGTACACCTGGGACGTGGCCATCTTCGGCCCCCCGGACACCCACTACGAGGGCGGGTACTTCAAGGTGAGCGGCGGCGGGGAGGGCTCGGGGGTGCGGGGAAGGCAGAGCAGGCGGTGTCGGGATGTGTTTTGGGAAGGAGTTTCGGAAGGGGTGAGACTCCATGAGTGTGGGGGTCGTGACAGAGCTGCTCCCGGGCTTGGGGGCGAGTTGAGGGTCAGGGAGAGCTGGGTACACCCCTGGTGCTTTGGAGTGGTGCGCCGGTGGCTGCTGCCAAACCACCGAGGGTCCCCTTCGTTGTGAAAAGCATTTGACCCCCTTGGAGGGGCCTCGACCACCCCCCTGCCCCTCTGGTCTGAGGGTGCAGGACAGCAGCTCCAGGTTGCTGAGGTTCCCTTTCCTGGAGAGGATCCGAGGGAAGAGACAAAAGTCCCCCGAGCGAAGGCAGAGACAGCCCAGGGTGGGAGCAGGGAGCTGGGTTGGGGAGTGAATGTCGTGGCTTGCTTTGGGGTTTGAGGTGGAAGAAGGTGTTTGGCAGCCTAACTGCACAATCCCCCCCACCTCGGCAGGATGTGTGTGTGCTCTTCTTCCCAGGTGTTGTGCAACTTGGGGTAGCTGTTTTCTTCCTCTTTCTCATCCTTCCTGCTCTGCTGAATGTTTTCATCCTGTTGCTGTCAGGGTGGGGATGCACAGGGTGAGTCACCCAGGGTTAGCTGTGTTTGTTTTCCCGGGCTGGCAGAGCTGATGCTTCAGAGCCAGGTTTCATCTCTTCACTGAAGTAGAGGGTTTTTATTTTCCCATAGCATTTTGGTGTGAGACCCTCTGAACTCTCACCCTTTCAGCCACTGTTGTTCCTGTTGTGTGCTCGAGAGCTTCCAAACTCAGCACTGAGGGTGCTGGTGAGGCTGTGCATAAGAGGAGAGCAGAGGGGCTGAGTCCTCTCCAGCCTGTGGGGACCAACAACTGCAGGGTGGGGTTGTTGCTGTCCAAGCCCCCTTTGGCATCGCTTTGCCTTGGCCGGTTTTGTTCTGATCCCCTCTGACACAACAAAGGGGATTATTCTGCCATGTTCAGCTGTTTGGCCAGAGCCCAGCACGGGGCTGGGTGTCACTGCCCTGCACTCCACACACACACAGCACAGCCCCCGCTGCACTTTTCCTCTCCCCACCCTGTGCCACGGATCCAGTGTCTGGATTTTCTTCTACGTGAACTGGGGGAGCAAGAAGCATTCAGGAGTTGTCGTGTTGAGTCTTGATCTGGAAGTTTGCTCCCAGGGCCTGGAAACAGCTGAAACACTGGGAAGTTGTGCAGCCACACAGGGAGAAGCTGCCCCCGTCCCCTTGGATTCCTGGTGCTGGTGGGTTGGGGCGGTCTCTGAGGACTGTGGGATGTTGCTGTAGGTCCCTGTGCCCCCTCAGGCTTCACTCAGAGTTGGACAGGGAACCCCTCTTTGCCCAATCTCAGCCCTGTGGGTTTGGCAGCTGTGGGAGGAGCTGGTGGTGGCTGAGTGTCTCTGCTGGAGCCCTGGGCTGCAGCCTGAGCTTCATGTGATTTTATTTTTAGCCCCCAAGCTGTGCGCTGCGGCCAGTTTGGACTGGGTCTCTTCTCAGCAGTGACAGGCTATTTTTAGATTTGGTGTTTTCATCAGAGCACCAAACACCTGATGCTTCCTTCCTGTGAGCTCTGAAGGGTAAACAGCTTTTCCTCCAGTGGCACAGCCATGGTCTGTCCCTGACAGCAGCTCTGGGGGTGACCCGGACTCTCTGCCTGGCTCTGTGTGCTGCTGTGGGGCTTGTGCTGGGTGCTCACAGCAGCTCCTGCTGGTTCCTCTGCATTGGAGAGCACTGGGTTAGCACCAGTGGGCCCTGCTGGACAGGGGGGTATGGGCAGAATGGGGGGCAAGGAGCTGCTGCTGGCCACAGACCCTTTGCTCACCCCACTCTGTGTGGTGAGAGGTGCCCTCAGGGCTGGTGTCCTGCCCACGGAGCTGGCTGGCACAGAGGCTCTGTCCCAGCAGGTGCCCAGCTGGGCTTGGCAGAGGTTCCTTGTTCCCAGAGCTGTCAGAAGCTCTGTGGTTTCCGTCCCTTCCTTCTCACAAGCTGATGTTCTCCTTATTGTTCTCCTGCAGGCTCGTCTCCGCTTTCCCATCGACTACCCCTACTCTCCTCCTGCCTTCAGGTTCCTCACCAAAATGTGGCACCCCAATATCTACGAGGTAGGTCCCTGGGACAGCGGGGAGGCTCTTGGACAGTCAGTGGACACGTGTGCCTCTGTTGTGATGGCACTGGATGCAAATGCCAGCCTTTGGCACTGGACACTCTGTGCCTTTGGCGATGAGTGCCTGGCACAGGGAACTCCACTAATGAGCTCACGCAGCCCTTTGCTGTCCCAGTGCAGACTCCAGGTCAGCCAGGCTTGCAGGCCTGATGGCTCCCACGCTTGGGGACATTGTGCCTGTGCCAAGAGTGGCTGCAGGGCAAGCAATGTGCCTGGGGCCCACGGCGGGGGCACAGCGTGCTGGGCATTGGGCAGCCTGACCTGAACAGTGCTGGCAGTCATGGGGTGCTTGTCCACTTTTGTGTCCCTCCTATGGGACTGAGGGGACAGCTTGGGTCACCTCACCTGGCTTCAGCCAAAGGGAAGAGTGAGCGAGGAGATCCTGTGGCAGCAGCTCCTGAGGATCCTGTTTCTCTTGTGCTTGCAGACAGGTGATGTCTGCATCTCCATCCTGCACCCGCCCGTGGATGACCCTCAGAGCGGGGAGCTGCCGTCGGAGCGCTGGAACCCCACCCAGAACGTGCGGTGAGGCCGGGGGGACCGCGGGCACGAGGCTCATTCAAGGGCAGGGGTGGGAGGATGGGGACAGCCTCCTGCTCCCAAAGCCTGCAGGAGGTGCCAGGGGGCTGCTGAAGGCTCTCAGGCTGTTGGATGGGCTGAAGAACAGCCAGAGCTTGTGTGTGGATGAGTGTAGCCAGCCCATGTCCCCTGCCCGGCCTGCTCCCCTTTGCTGGGACCTCTCTTGCTGTGGACAGCACAAGGCTTTCCCACGGACAGAGCAGGGCTGCTGGCACTGCTGGGGTGCTGCTGACCTGTCTCAGCTCTGACCTGCTCATGTTTCTCCACACCAGAACCATTCTGCTGAGTGTGATCTCGCTGCTGAATGAGCCCAACACGTTTTCCCCGGCCAACGTGGACGCCTCCGTGATGTACCGCAAGTGGAAGGAGAGCAAAGGGAAGGACCGGGAGTACACAGACATCATCAGGTGCGTGCTGAGCCTGGCCTGGCAGCACGGGCTGTGCTGGGATCCTGTGGGACACGGGCTCTGGGGGGCTGGGGTGCAGAGCTCTGTTCTCATCCTTCACTTCTCGCCCTCCAGAAAGCAAGTGCTGGGCACCAAGGTGGACGCTGAGCGGGATGGAGTGAAGGTCCCCACCACGCTGGCTGAGTACTGTGTGAAGACCAAGACTCCAGCCCCAGATGAGGGCTCAGACCTCTTTTATGATGACTATTATGAGGATGATGAGATGGAGGAGGAAGCAGAGAGCTGTTACGGTGATGAGGATGACTCCGGCAATGAGGAATCTTGATGGCCCTCTGGCATTGCAAAACTTCGTATAAACTACTGGATTTTACCTCAACTAGAACAAACTGGTTTGAATTTAGGATCTGTCAGCCCTGAAATTAACTCTCTACCTCGCAGGGAGACTATTCTGCTGTTGCAAAAGGAAATCCCATTGCTGTCTTTGTAGGAAAAGATAAACCCCCTATTTTATAAACTTCCTGGGGGATGGGTGGAGAGGGGGCATTCACAAAGCCACAGAAACTGAGGTGCTGGTGGCTCTGCCTGGCTGAGGAGTGACAACCAGCCTGGTGTTGGCTGCCCCTCATTTGTGTTCAGCTTCTCTTCAGCCTCATAGGGTAGGAGCAGTTTGGGGTGCTTGTGGGGGTAGTGAGTGGTTGCTTTAGTGGGGGGCAGCATGTGAGTGCTGTCTTGGCTTTCAAGACCTTTTAGGGTTCACCCTGCAGCCATCTGGGTTGTCCCCACGTGATCCTTTTGCCTTCCCTGCCCATGATGCTGGAGCTGTGTTCACAGGGAGAGGGGCACCAGGGAGGACTTGCCCAGCAGCCACCAGCACTGGGCATGTGGGGATAGTGTGTTTGTGGTTTTTAACTAGCTGGGAGGGATGGGGTCATGCTGAGTATTTCTGCTTCTGGTTTTTTTTTGGACACTATTTAATAAAGTTCTTCCAGGGAAGGGTTGTGATGCACAAGTGAGGTTCTGCCCTGGCCATAAGGGATTTGTGTCAGACATGGACTGGCATGGAGCAGTGGGTGGATGGGCTGGCTGCTCTCCTGGGGCTGCAGGGCAGCTGTGGATCTCACAGTAACCCTCTGCAGCATGGGCAGGAGGGTCTGGGCAGGGTTGCCTCTGGTCTGGAGAGCATCTCTGCCCTTCCCAGGCAACATTCAGTCCTTTTGCCCTGGAGCTGTGGCCAACACTCAGCCTCTGCCTGGGCCAAACTCTCCAGTGCTGCACGGGGAAGGTGTTTGCCTTCTCCTGCCTGGGCAGTGCCTGGCTGTGCTCGGTGGTAGCTGATGGGTGCCCTTGCAGCTGCTCTGACCTCGTGGGGTGTGCCCTGAGCCCACAGACTGAACTGGCTGGGACATGCCAGCTCAGGAGACTGCAGGGAGCTCCCCAGACTGTGGTGAGCTCCCAGCCCGGGGCGCTGCCGGCGCCTCGCCCGGCTGGGATGGGGCGAGCAGCCTCGGAGCCAGGGCAGGGCCAAGGCCCTGGCACGGCGCCTGCCTGGGGCTCCTGCCCCTGCTGCACAAAGCTCCTCAGAGGGGTAATGAGCAAAACTTCCCTCGGCTGGAGTCGTGCAAATGGGATCAGGGCTTGAGTGACACCTGGGACTGCACGCGGCGAGGGCATGTGCTTTATTGCCTTAGGAAATGAGGCTAAAAGGTGAATAGGATTATTGTCGCTTTATTCAGGCCTGGCAAATGGCTTCCAAGGTCACCCGGCCCGGCCGGCATGGAGCAGCAGCCCTGGTTGCTTGTCCACAGCCAGCTTCTCCTTCCTTTCCTGGGGGGCTGCTCTGTGCACCCCAAACCTGCGTGGCTGTGCCCATGTGCCCTCTGCCTTTGCTGGCTCTTTGTGGCCAGTTCCCTGTGCAGTGCTGGATGCTGGAGGCCAGATCGACACCAGCTCCTCAGCCTGCGGGTGCTATGGGCACCACACTCTGCCGAATTTCTGCACCATACGAGCCGTATTTGCAAATCCCCCAGTGCAGGGGGAGCCCGGCCAGTGGATGAGAGTGAGCGGGATATGGGAAGAAATATTTTGGGAGGAGCTAGCAGAACCCCGTGGAGAGCGTGGTGGGGACTGGCGCCTGTGGCCCCATTGTTTTGGCTTTTCTTGCCCCCCTGCCCAGTACCCCCGGCCGTGAGTCAAGACTTCGCTCCTGGGATGGAGCCGAGCTGGAGGCAAAGCTGCGGTCCTGCAGCCGCCTCTCAGCCGCGGCTGCCTTGCTGGTTACTGCCTGCCCAGCCCCTCGGGGTTATCGGGCAGCTCCCGGGGCCGGGCGCGCTCCCTGCAGCTCGGGGCAGCGCAGCGGGGCTGTACCGAGGGCCGGAGGGTCCGTGCGACCGGGGCAGCTCCGGCTGCGCGGCGCGGCTGCTCCGCCCCGGCAGCGGCCCCGCGGGCTCCGCTGGAGCCATTGTCTGTGCCGGACTCCCTGCGCTGCGGAAGCGCTGCCCGGTTTCCTTCCCGCACATCCCGCTGAGGCGGCCCTGCCTCGCCCCGTGTGGCCCCGGGAGCCTCCGGGAACCGCCGGACCCGCTGGCTCCCCCCGTGACTCTGCCCGCGCCGCGCCCCGAGGAGCCGCATGGCCTGGGGGTGTGTGCGTGCCGGGGCTCCCCCCGGTGCGTGCGTGCCCCGGCTCGGCAGGGACGGACACGTGCGGACCCGCTCGCCTCCCCCATCCCTCCGTGTTCCGGGCCCGGCCGGGGGCGGGGGTTGCCCCGGGGGCGGCCCCGGGACCCTCGGCCCCGCCCACAACGCGCGTCCCCATTGGCTGCCGCGGCCGGTGGGCGTGTCCGGGCGGGACCGGCCCGAACCGGCTCTGCCCGCGGGGCCGGCAGAGAGGAGAAGGCGCTCGGTGTGATCTTCTCTCTGATTGGCCGCGCCGGGCCGAGTGGGCGGGGTCAGAGGGGCGCAGCGCCGCGCGATTGGCTGAGCGGAGTGGCGAGGGGGCGGTGCCCGGGCTGGCCCCGCCTCCCCCCGGTGCCCCGGTCGCGGTTATAGCGCGCGCGCGGCGCGGCGGGGCGCGTGCGGAGATGGCGGCGGGCGCGGCGGGAACGCGCGCGGCCCTGGCGCTGCTCGTCGTGTGCTCGATGGCCGCCGGCGCCGCGGGGACAAGTACGGACCGGGCCGGGGTGGCTCCGGCCTGGGGGGGCTCCTTTCGGGCGGCCCGGGTTGGCGGGAGGTTGGCGAGGGCCCACGGGGGAGCTCCGGTGGGGGTTGGACGGAGGGGTGTCCAGCGGAGGCTCCGAGGGGTCTTGGCGGGATCCCAGCCCCGCGGGTGGGCTCCCGACCGGGTCCGGGAGCGGCGGGCGTGGGGGGAGGAGCGGCGGCGCGGGCGCCTGCGGCGGGGCACGTCCGCGGCGGGCGGGGCCGGGGGAACGGAGGCGCCCCGGGGTTATCGGGGAATGGCCGGGCCGGGCTGAGCTCGGCACAGCCGCCGGGTACTCCCGCAGCTCGGGCGGAGGATGCCCCGCCGCACCGCGTGCCCGTTGGTCTCTTTAACCGGAGCGGCGTCGGGGTCCGCCGGTGCTTTCCGCCGGGCTGGGTTGTTTTCTCCTTAGGAAAACCGAGGAGTTTATTCCCCGCAGCCGCTTCTCCGGTTTCCGCGGCTCAGGAGCAGCAACGGGTCGCCGGGCTTTAAACGCTAAAGATGTTCCGGATAATCCCGGGGCGGAGCGGGTCCGGTGCGGGGCGGCGGCTCCGCAGCCCCCGGTGGGCGCGGAAGGCTCTTCCCGCCGGGATGAGCGGCTCTGCCCGCGCTGGGGCTCCACGGTTCCGCTTTGGGAGGAGGGAGCTCACGGCAAACCCGGCCGAGTTCTCCCCGCCGCCTCTGGACCAGCCCCGGTGCTCGAGGTTTGGTCGCCAGTGGCGAGCAGCTGCTTCTGGCTGTTGTTTTGAGTACTTAAAAACAATTTGTAGCCTATTTGCGCTTAATTCAGCATAGTACAGCCGAACCTTGAAGAGTGGGAGGATCCTGGCAAACCGAAGCGTGTGCTCCAATAGTTTTTTTTTTCCTACAGAACTGCATTTTAATTCTGCAGGGCAGAGCCGCCTTCTAAACCTCACATATATCACCTGGAGCTGGCCAAGTTTGCCATCCCGCTCCCTCTGTGGCTCTGAGGCTTTCCTGCCAGCTCCCTCCTGCCTAGAGACTGGCACCGCTGGGATGTGGAAAAAGCAATTCTCATCCTGGGTTTGAAAAGGCCTGGGAGGAAGAGCTGGCCCAGCAGTTGTGTAATGCCCACGTCCTGCCTGGCCATGCCTGGGCTTGGTGTGGAGCCCTGCTGGTGCCCGGAGGGAGCAGAGGGGGGGATGGAAAGTTGGGGTTTGGCCTCTCAGCAGTGTTGGGGTTTGGCTTTATGGAGCAGGCTGGGCAGCAGCTCGCCCCATGGAGCGTGGGTCAATGTGTGCCTGGACTCTGTGCCCTCGCGGGGAGGGACCCTGACTTTGACCTGGCTGTGCAAAGCTTAAGGGCAGCTTTTATAGCTATTTTAAATGGCAAAAAGTGTTAGCTCCTCAATTACCCCTTCCCAAACCGAGAAACAAAGGTCAGGCCAGGCAGGAACATGGACCCAGTGGGGCTCAGCACGTCCCACTGCTGTTGACACCCCGAGGACTCCTCCCTCTGCGGGGGGAGAGGTTGTTTATAGTTTGAAGGTGACTGGAGAATGTTATCTGCTCTCTCTGCCTGTCCTGCTGGCTCAGATACCACGCTGTGCCCGGGGAAGCATCCGGGCTCAGCTCTGTGAGGAGCGCCTGGGCTTCGGGAGCTGAGCTCCACTTGCAGCCTGTCACCCTCTGGAAAATGGCAGCAGCCCTGATCGATGCCAGTGGGTTGGTGCTGGCCGTGCTCCTGTGCCTTGGGCTCCACAGGCACTTTCCCCAGCCTAGAGAACCCAAGGTTGGGATTTCCTGCTCTCAGCTTTTTGGTGGGGACAGGGAGGACATTAATCCCATGGGAATGCAAGTGGTACTCGCTGCTGCTGCTTGCTGGAGCCTTTTAAACCTGTTTGAACTGCACCAGGTACCCTCTAACTCGCAGCAAATAACCTTGCACAGCTTATTTTGTCAGCACAGTAATCACCTTGTGGCTGTAAAACCCTTGATCTTTACCAGCTCCCGCTTTAATTCGGGCTGCACTTGGAGCAGACGGGCTCCTACAAGTGCTCTGGGCTTGGCAGGGTTGGGAGTGTTTGATCACAGGCCTGTGCTGTGGAAAAAAAACCCTTCTGGCATGCAGGTCAGTGGTTCTAGGAGTGGAACCCAGCTGATAGCCCCATCCCATGTCTCTGGGTACCCCTGAACCTCCTGCTCGGTTAAAATTAGTGTCTGCCTTCTCCTAAGAGTGCTTTGTCACCCCCCCCATGGGGGGTCCTTTCTCTTTCAGCCATGCTTATTCTTCAAGAAGACTTCCAAAAAAGTCTTTAGGAGGAAAAACTAGTTTTTCCTTTGAAAAATGTGGAATTAATTTCTTTAGGAGCCAAGCTTAGCTTACAGGCTAACTTGTGTCTTTCTTGAGTTTGAGCAAACTTGGGTTTGTGGCAGTGATTTGTTCCTATTCTCACAAAAAGCAGCCTTAGGATTTTTTGTTAAAACATCTTCAGGCTTTCAAACCCCCCTCAGAAAACTTCTCCAAAGCCCACTTTCTCTGTGCCTGTACATCACAGCGCATCCATGGAAAGCTGTTGATAATCACAAAGTGCTTTTAACTGAGCAAATTAATTCCTGGAAGGTTCTTGGGGTGCGAGCTGCCTGTTAGTACAGGAAGGATGTGTCTCAAGCTCAGCTCCTTCTGCAACCTGGCTGGGGCTGAGTCACGTAGTGACCTCCACTTGTGCCTGATGGTTTTTCCAAAGTGGAGCTGCTGAGCCTCCCTTCCTGCCTGCCCTGGGAAGGGCTCCTGGGGCTGTGGCCACTGCCCTGGAGCCCGAGGGCGTTTGGCAGCTCCG